CGGGGCAGGTGCCGTTAGCCGCTAGCAGCTGCTTCTCCTGGACCCTGGCCCTGTTCACGTTCAGGTGTGGGGTCCTTGGTTTGGACAAATTCCTGTAACCCACAGACCATATCGACCCTCCGCCCCTTTGAGGCAAACATCTCCCATCTTCTTTAAACTCCTGATGTCCAGAAAGCACTGATGTTCACGTTAGTAGTTCCACTATTTCTTCTTTAATTTCTTTAATTAGTGCTTCCACGTACCCGCCACGCCGACCTGTTTCCACTGGGTCTCCTCCGACGGGGTGTGTACAGCGAGAGCCTTGATTTGCCTCAGGGTAACAGTCTGTGCTATAAAGCATGGCTCCTTTTTCTTTTTCCAGACTTGATCTTCAGGCACCCCACCACCATTTTGTAAACTGCTTTTCCCTTCGCACTGTTCCGTCTTGACAGTTTTGTGAATGAGGGGCCCTCCTGCATTGAGGGGGTCTCTTTCAAGGCTCAGAATTCTTTCTCCAGCCTTGTCTCGATTTGGGGCCAGCCCACACTCCTTCAGTCACTGTTGGAGTGTGGGCTGGTCTCAGGCAACGATGGGCCATACCCTGGGCCCTCGGACACCAGCATGGCTCTTCCAGCCCCTGTGAAATCAGTGGGCTCACTCTCGGTTCCAGTTTTGCCTCCAGCTGCGTGTCTTTGTACGAGTCGTGTAGCCTCTCTGAGCCTCACCTGTAGGAAGGAGCAATGCATGATGTGTCACCCAGGTGGAACGCCGGTGCTTAATAGGTGCTCAGCTCGTGCCTGCACTTGGGGATTTTAAAAGTGTCCCGGGGGTGATGGTAACTGGGCCTGCAGCTTGGTTGGCCTTGGGGGCAGTTGAGGGTGCCTCCTCCATCCTTCTTGGCAACAGTGGGGACACCGGATGGGGGCATCGCTGCCGGCCTGCAGAGCCGGGGAGGGGGCACCGAAGCAGCTCATACCACGAGCCATAGCTGCTCTCAGCCCTGTTTCCATGGTTACCACCTCAGGATGAGATCACCTTCCTGTTCGCAGGCGGGAAGCACCCAGCACTCTGCCAAGGAGGCCCTCCTGGCACGTGGCCGTCGGTGTGGTCGGCCACAGGACGGGGTGGGCTGGGCTGTACGTCCCTCCTGGACAGCAGGGGTGAGGCCAGGGCACAGGTAGGGGTGTCACTGAGCTGAGCGGAGAACCACGCCTGTCCAGCCGGGGTCAGGGGACATGCTAGCTCTGGCTCCCGAAGAGCAGACACCCAGACGGCATGAGATGTGAGAGAGGATGCGTCCCCGGGAGGGAGGGGAAGGGAGAGGGTGCAGGAGCAGAGCCTTAGCTGGTGCCTGGCTGACCCCTGGGAAGGGAGGTGGGGGAGGACAGCGAGGGAGAGCCTCGGAAGCAGTGCAGCTCAGAGACAACTTGGCCTGCTCGGTGGAGTCCCCCGGGGCCCAGGCTGCCCGTGGGGGAGCCCCGGGTCGGGCAGGAGCACTCCCCGGGCTCGGGGCTCGGTCCTCGGCCCCTGAGTGAAGCTGCAGTGGATCCTGAAGGCAAGAGGAGCGGCAGGCTGTCCGCCAAAACTCCCTCCCAGCAGGCTGCCTCCCGGAGGGGGCGCGAGCTGCCCCTTGGAGTGGAGCGCAACACGTGGCCTTCCAGAGCCCTGTCCTTCCCCGGGGGTGGATGTGAGGGTCGTCCCATCCAGGCAGAGAAGCAGCATCCGGTCAAGTCCAGGGAGGCCTGTCACCCACTCCCTGGTGCGATGGCCCAGTCCTGTTCAGGGAGATGCTGGAGCCCACACTGCTGGTTCCCAGGGCAGCGGCGCGATGTAGGGCTCTGTGCGGTCCTGGGTGCTGGGGCCCGGGGCGGAGGAGAGGCTCTGCCCACTTGGTGTCTGCAGCGGGAAGACAGGACACCTGTGTGCGTGCATGCGGGCAGAGCAGGGGCTGTGCCCCCACTTGGAGGGACTTCTGTGGGAGGCACCGGGCAGGGGTTTCCTGGGATCCTGGGCCGAGAGCTGGCTGAGGATAGGGGAGAATTTGGGGAGGAGGAGGCTGAGGAACAGGAAACAGGGTTCTGGTGGGAGGTGGCTGGGAAGGAGGGCTGAGCTGGAGGTGCTGCGCTGGGGGACGGCCCAGGGTTCAGGGAGCGCTGAGGGCACGGACGGTGCCCACCGTCGGTGCGTGTTTACAGTGAAGGCAAAGTTCTCCCCTTCGGCACTCCGCCTCTGTTGGCCTCTGACTCGCGGTGGACTGGCCCAGGCCCACTGTGCTCCAGCCCTCGGCCTCTGTCCTGGAGGCCCAGAGCCTCTGCCCTGGCTGTTCCCACTGCCCAGACACTGTTCCCGAGAGAGCCCTGCTCCTCCTTCAGGTTTGGCCCCATATCTCCTCTTTGCTGAGACCTCTCTCGTCACCCCTCTGAGCTGCCCCAGCTGCTCTGGCTACCCCGTGTTCCCCTGCTGACAGTGATGACCACAGCCTCTAGCCACCCTGGTTGTTTTTGGGTTTCCTTATTTCCCACCCGCCTCTCCACAGGCTTGTCAGCTCTGAGGGGACTTTGTCCATCTCGCTCACGACCGCAGCCCCAGTCCCTAAACGTGCCTGGCGCACAGTAGGGTCTCCACAGACGCCCGCTGGCAGCTGAACCCGTGTCCTCACACGGGGGCGGTGGGCACCACCCTGTTCTCTGTGGGGGGAGTCACGGCCCCAGGGCACAGCGGGGCGGGGACGTGGGCCCTGCAGGTCCGCGCAGACCCTCTGCTCCCTGGCCGAGCAGCCCTCACAGGTCAGCTGCCCCTTGGGTCCCACTGCCCATCTACGAAGCAGAGGCAAGACCAGCACCCAGCCCGGGGGCCGCGAGAGTGGGCAGGACGGCACCTGGAGGACCGAGTGGGCTGGCTGTGAGCTCCTTCCTCTGCCCGATGCCCTGGCCACGCTGCCCGACCGCCACTCAGAGGGGCTGCCCCCTAACAGGGAACCGTGGCCCCTGTGCTGGAGTGGGAAGGGGATGGGCCGACGTGAGGGACTCACGGGCGAAGCTCCAAGTGAAGTGACCCGGTCCCATCCCCGGTGGCACGAGCTCGTGGGTCTAAAGGGCGATCAGTTCTGCAGACCGAGCTGCAGGCTCTCACCCGGCTGCGTGCGGGAGTCATGGGGTAGGGAGCCGAGAAGCCACCCCCAGCAGCTACTCACCAGTTAAACCCCCTCCTGTAATCTAGACAAACGGTCACCCTGCCTGTCGGCCGGAGGGGCCACTGCAGCCCCCATCCCCGACCCTGCGACACATCCCTTCCAGGCGGGAAGGTGACCGCGAAGTCACATTGCCCGGGACCAGCAGTCCTGACGGAGAGCAGGTCTGCTTGCAAGCTGCTGGCTGCAAGCTGCTGGCCGCAGGCAGCTCACTGCCTCTGCCCTCTGCTGACCCGGGCAGGCCAGGCAGGCGTGGCCTTGGGGGCTGCCGCCTGGGGTCAGACAACAGGGCCCACTCCCAGGCTCTCTGTGTCCTGGTGTCTCTGTCTGTGGGTGGAAGGGCAGGACCAGCGTGTGTGACGCAGGGCTACTGTGAGGATGGAGTGCGGTCTTGCTCACAGGGCGCTTGGACCGGAGCCCCAGCGTGGCCCTTCCACTCTCGCAGCTGGAACGACCACCCCCCACCGCCCCACCTACTCCCCTGCAGGCAGCCACTTCAGCCAGCGCCCAGCTGGTAGGCCAGACCTGGGCCTTGAGCGACCCTCGAGCGACCCCCAGGCCACGTTCAGGCACAGAGTCAGCTCAGCCCCTGGACTGGGTGGTTGGAGGACGGGGCAGCTGGATCTGCCCCACGGCTTAGTGCCCAGCACAAGCCCCCAGGTGGGGTGGGGACAGTGGTTTTCTGGATGAGTGAGTGAATGAGTGAATGAATGAATGCCATGGCTTCTTCCTTCTTGGATGTTTCTGGGCCTCCGAGAGTGAGAGAAAGGCGATGATGGGCAGAGAATTACCAGCCCCGCAGCGGGCAGATCTGGGTAGAATTCCGGCTCCCTTATGAGGTCCTTTGCATCTTGGAGCCTCAGTGTTCTCACCTGCAAAATGGGTGCCACACAGACACCTCCACCGTCTGTTCAACATCCACTCCTCTCTTCCTTATTTTGGGAGGAGAGCCTATTGTCGCCACACGGGTGGGAGAGCACCCCTTCCAGGCTCTCTTGTTGGTGGGAGTGGCCACGGGGTCCCAACCCACCAGTGAAATGTCAGCAGAGTCTCCTGGGGGCTCCAGGAAGTCAAGCCTGGCCCGGCACCGTCTTTCCCACCCTGTCCCAAGCTGGAGTGCGCTGTCTGAGGCCGCGGGTGTGGGGACCGGAGCCAGTGTGCTAAGGCTGGCTGGGCACAGAGACGGAAGGAGTGAGCCGGCCCTGGTGCCTGCTGCCTCTGGACCTCTGGCTGTGTGCCCTTAGCCCCCGGGGCCAGGACCCTCCAGAACCATCAGTGGGAGGTGGGGATGGCGTGGGAGAGGCCCGGGAGGGAGCAAGCTGGTGTCGCTCCCAGTCGACCTGGGGGTTTTAGCGGCCTTGGCCTTCGAGCCGGCCCTGGCAGGTGGGCAGCGCTTTGTCCAGAGGAAATGAGAGGGGTGGGCATCCAGGCAGGGGCCTGGGGGTGAGGGGGCCCCAGCGGCGCCTCCTGTCACCTGGCACGTGGGGGTCCTGCAGGGGGACCTCGATGTCGAGTTCCCTCCTGTAAACCAGCATCCCCCAAGAGTGCATCACTGTGTCTCTGGTCGCGGCGTCCGCCCACCTGTGCTTCTGTTTATTTCATATGTTCTCTTCAGTCTCGTGCACTCAAAACAAAACCTCAGCAAACGTGTCTGTGGCTCCCCATTCCAACCGGCAGAGGCTCCAGCTCTACCGCTGCGTGCTCGCGCCCAAAAGGAGCTAATGCAGTGAGTTGGGGACGGGAAAGACGTCTGGAGGCCAGCTGAGGCCTCCGGGATGCAATGAGCAGGGCTGGGAGAGAGTTAAAAGGGACCTGTCTTCTCGGTGACGCGATGCCTGATTTAAAGCCGGATCGAAGCAGGAACCACGGCAGCGCCTCCGGATGCGAGGGTGCCGTGAGCGGGAAGGAAACGGAGGCAGTGAGCACGTTACGGGGGAGGCTTGGTCTGACTCACTGGGCAGGCGGAGACAGGAGGTCCTGAAAGGGGAGAGGGTCCGTGGGGCAGCGGGAGACGGGCGCCAGGTCTGCCCCCTCCCACTCTCCTCCCTGGCTGGGAGCTACCCTAGGAGGGGGAGACGGGGAGAGCGCCGGCCGGCCAGACCCCAGAACCTCCGACCTCGGAGCCTGTCCCTGAGCGGCCTCCCCCATTTTTCTGGTATGCCTACTGACCAGCTGGATATTCTCTTTATGAAGCCAAAACCACTTCTTTTCTGTAATTCTTATTTCTTATGGAGGTGTGGTTGACTGACAATGTTAGTTTCAGGTGTACAGCGAAGCGATTCAGTTACATACATGCATTTTTGTTGTTTGCTTCCAGATGCTTTTCCATTACAGCTCATTACAAGGTGTTGAATATAGTTCCCTGTGCTGCACAGAAGGTCCCTGTTGTTCACCTGTTTTGTATACAGTCATGTGTGTCTGTTAATCCGGCTCTCCAGTCTGCACCCCCAGCACTCCCCGGCTCCTGCAGTCTGCAGCGAGTGACTTCGTTCTCTTCGTGGTGTCTGCTCATGAACAGCTCTTAGTGGGGTCAAGCTTATCTCAGTCTTTTCATTTTCGGTTAGTACCTTTTGTTTATGATTTAAGTAATCTTTGCCTATCCCAAAGTTATAAAGGTATGCCCTATTTATAAAAACTTTTTATTTTAAACTAATTTTAGATTTACAGCAAAGTTGCAAAAAAATAGTGTGGAGAATTCATGTATGCACTTCATGCAGCTTCCTCTAATTGTAATATTTTGCAGAACCACAGTACCTTTATCAAAACTAAATGGTAACCATTCTTATTTTTTCTTTTAGAAGCTTAATTTTTTTGGACAGTAGGTCTCTGATCCATTTCAGATTAATTTTGTGATGTGTGACATGTGAGTTATGTCTTTATTTTTAGTATGAATACCCATGTGCTCCAGTACCGTTTATTGAAAAGTATTTCATTTGTATAGTGAATCACTGGGAGCTCAGCTGAAAATCACGGATGGCTCCGCTTGTGGACTCAGCAGCTCGCTTCATTAGCCTGTCTGTCTGCTGCGCAAACCACGCCAGCTTATCTGCCGTGGCTTCACAGTAGGTCTTAAAATCTGATAGTGTAGGTTCCTCCAGCTCCATGCTTCTGTAAGATTGTCTTGCCTGTTTCTGGTTTAATTCCATTGTAAGTGTCAGAAATAGATTGTCTTTGGTGATACTGGTGGTTCATTAATCAATATAATAAATGTTAAAGGTTTTTAAAGCTGAAAAAGGAAATTAATCTTCAAATAGAAAGATCACACCAAGTGTGCAGCAGAGCAAACCACCATGGGAAAAAACCAAGCTCTAATTACACCCCAATGACATGTCAAACATGAAAGGTGAAGAAACAATACTGCTGGTCACCAGGAGAGGAGCAATGCTTGCAAGGAAGGACATACTGGTTAAAGGTCACAGTTCTCAGCAGCAAGAGGAGAGGCGAGAGGTTAATTAAACAACATTTCCAAAGCGCTAAGACCAGGTGACTCTGGACCTAGAATCCTATACCCAGCCAAACTATCAATCAAAAGTGAGAGTAAGTTTTCACGTAAAAACTTTCCAAACTTTACCATGCACAGGTCCTCATAGAATTACAGAAGAGAAATCATAGAATTCTGTGAATTGTTTATAATAGAAATTGTAGAATAAAAATATAAAAGGAAAGGAATCCAGCAAGAAATTGTGTAAGTCATAAGGCAGCAGTGAGCAGAAACAGTAGTGAAAGCTGTTAAATACAAATAAGTATTGGTTTAAAATTTACATATCGGGGGAGAGTGTAGCTCAGTGGTAGAGTGCCTGCTTGGCGTGTATGAGAGCCTGGTTCAATCCCCAGCACTTCTGTTAAAATAAATAAATAACCCTAACTACCTACTCCCCCCCAAAATAAAAAAAAAATAAAAATTATATATCAAGATCAAGCTAAGATTCCAAACATCAGTATAGGATGTTAAAAATACAGAAGATAATACGAAAACCGTGCTAAGAGTTTTGTTTCCCTGGAGGAAGAGCATAGCTATTGATTTACTAATTTTAGGTAAGCAAACATGGACGGATAAAAATACTTATTGAAAGATAAACACTGACAGGTAATACTGATAACTCAACAAATGCATTGAGGGGCGAGGTGGTAATGGTGGCATCAGAAGAAAATATAATTCAAGACAAAAGTTGTTCTGAGGACTCAAGGAAAGGGTAGCAGTCCAGGTTCCCGTGTGAAACTGTCAGATGGTTCATCGGAGAACATTTAACGTCTGTCGAATGAACTAGTCTCAGAGGCCCAGGAGGAGGTAAGGAAACCAAGAGGAGATGGAAAAGCACCCCAGGGCTATGGACAGGGGGGTCCCTGCCGTTCCTGGGCCTGAAAGGTCAGGAGGGGCGATGACACCAGTGCCCACAGGGAGCCATGGCTCTGAGACAGGCTGCCGGCGAGAACGCAGCGTTTTGTTCAGGAGATAAGGATCTGAGGAAGACTTGTGGACAGCTTGCCTTCGGGAAAGCTTCTGTATGTGCACGAGCCGCGGGGGCTGTGCCTAGAAGCACGGAGCCGGGGGCAGACTCCACTCGTCACCGGTGGTGTAGCCTCACCTGGGAAACGGGACCGAGACCCGCGGGAGCCCACCCAGCTCTGCCCAGCCCTCCTCCTCCTCGCAGGGCACGGTGTCACTGCTCCTCATCACGTGGGGTCATGGGGTCACAGTCATGTCCTGCACACATTTTCCGGTTCACTTTGGAGCTCTCGTGACCTTACGGAATCTACATGCCCCTCACACACACACACATGCAGCCCCACACTTCAAGCACCCGCATCGTCTCGGTCCCGCTGGTTGTGTTCCGGTGGGTCTCACGGGAAGATGTGAGGAGTAAGAGTGAATGTCCGGCCCGGGGCAGAATCAGCTCTCAGAAGACGTTACACATTATGCGGATTATTATACACGGACCTAAGTGATTGGATCCAGCCCAGCTCGCGCATCCACAACGTCTGAACTCTTGACCCGACTGCATAAGCTTCAGGACGGGCAAGTCTGGACCAGCCCCAGGCCCTGGCAGGTGACCCGCGTCTCCGCCCCACGCGGAGGCCCTGGCTCCAGCCCTCCCCGAGCGTGGGCTCTGCTGCCGCCTCTTTGCCGGGCCGCGGGGTCTTTGCATCGTCTGGCCCCTTTCCCGACACAGCGAAGGCCATCAGATTCAGCGAAAAGCCACCTCCGCCCGGAGTCCTCCCTGATCCCTCCACCCTAGGAGGAGGCCACTGTCCCACCCCGGTAACACCCCGCCCTTCTGTCAAGCCTGGAACCCTTCAGTGCTGGGATAAGACGGTGATCCAATCAACCCATCAACCCGCCCTGTGGACGGTTACCTCTGCGATCGCATCAGGGGAGGCTGCCCATTGGCCGGGATCTCCGAGAGCCCCGCCCCGCCCCAGGCGCGCTCCGGTTAAAAAGCGCGCAGAGGCCGCCTGCCCGCAGACTTCCGAGCGTCCACCCGGGCTGCGCGCGCCTCGGAGCCCAGACGCCTTCGGACCACTTCTGCTGCTCCCGCCGCCGCGTGCAGCGTTCCAGGAGCCTGGCGGGAAGGAACCCTTCGAGGAGCATCAGGTGAGTGCGTTGCTATGGGTGGGGGCGGGGTGGGACCGTCTCCCCTCCTCCGTCCCCAGCCCCACCCCTCTCCTTACTCGGCAGTTAAGTCGCACAGGACTCTCCTCCCACTCCCCACCTCTGAGACGGCTTTCGTCCACCCGGCCGGCTCGGGAGCCCACCCGCGGGAGCAGAGGACCCCAGCCCACCAGGCGGGCTGATTCTTCCGCCCACCGACCTCTGTAGCCTCCGCGGCGCTGGGGTCTTGGGGGTCTGGGCTTCCGAGAAGGGAGTAGAGACCCCGCTTAGGGGTTGCCCTGCAGGTTCTGCCATGACGACCCCAATCCCAAAGATTCTGCCCGCAGGCTCCCCAGGAGTGATCTGTGTGTCTGGGTCATAGCCGGGAGGTCGTGGGTCAGAGAGGCACACTTTACGTTTTGATGGTTATCTCCAAATTGAACCCCAGGGTGAATTGTGCTGGTCCTCCAGCCACAAAAGCAGCACGTATTCTCCTCCATCCTGTGAAACGTCAGCGTGGCTTTACTCTGCCAAATTAATTGTGAAAGTCAAGGCGCCGTTCTTTGTCAGTTTCGATGCTTCAAGCACCTGGGCGAAGCAGGGCGTTTGCATGTGATGCTGGCTGGTGGCTGCCCTTTGCCCACTGCTGGTGGGGTTATTTTCTGTGAATGACTGATCCGCACTTTCTCTATGGATGTTCCTAGTATTGGCTCTTGTCGCCGTATTGGAAATAAACCCCCGCCCAGTTTTGTGGTTGGTCTTTGGAATTTGAGCATACTAATCTTGTATTTTCCCTTTTCAACCGGATATTTGATTTCAAAATAGTCAATTTTATTAGTATGTGCTTCTGGTCTTGGCATGGAGCACAAATGTCCTCCCCCACCAGGCTAGTTCAGTTTGAGGTCTTTGCTTGATCTTTTAATTCACCCCATGCCAGGCATCCAGCCAGCAAGATCCAACTTTGTCCTCTGTGACCTGCACAGACGGGGTCGTGGGGGACTGAATGCTTGGTGCCAAGATGAGGAAAGGCCACAAGTGGCCGTGCACAGGGTCACTCCTGTTATGACGCCCTCTTTGCTCATCCTCCTCCCGGGCTTTGACCCGCTGACCTCTCCTCCAGCCCCTAAACCTCTCCCCCTGTCCAGCCCTTACCCTCTGTCTGTTCTCCTGCAGGTTCCAAGAAGCCACCTGGAGCACCCTGGTAGGGAGTGCTTGTGGGAACAAGCCAGAGCCTGGAGAGCAGTTCTCACCCAGGATGGGGTCACGTGCATCCAAGAAAGAGGCAGCACACAGAGTCCAGCCTGTGACCCAGACCTCTGCAGAAACCCACGTGACTGCTCCAGTCCCCTGCGCCGCCATGGACCCTGCCGGTGCCTCCTGCCCTGACCTGGGGGCCCAGCCTGTCACCGGCCCTGCCTGCTGGCCCGACATGAGGCCCTCCTGGGCCGCCCCCTCCTGGATGTGGCACCCCGCCCCTTGGGGTTACGTGTGCACATCCTCTGTCGGCCATCTCTGGATTGGGTACCCCTGTCCTGTTGCCTCAGTGCTTTCAGTCTGGACTTGGGGCATCTCCAGCGTTGACCCCCTCATGGGAAGACAGCATGCTGCCCCCCTGACCTCTGGAGTATTCCCTTACCCGGTGGGTCCCCCACCCCCGTACTCCTCAGTCCCTCCAGCTCCAAGCGGGGACGCCTCGGGCCACTGCACCCAGGAGGGGTGGCAGACTCCGACCAGCTCGGCGCCCCCGCCTGCAGTGGAGGGCCCGTCCAGAGGGGCTTCCTACTCGATGATGTACCAATTCCTTCCATCAGAATGGGCGTCCAGGCTCAGCATTTGGGCACCCAAGCCGTCCTCCAGCCCAGAACTCTGCCCTCTGCCCCCTTCCCCCAGCAGGGACCCTCAGGGGGAGCCCCGCTGTCCCCAATTACCCCGGTCCCCCTCCAGGGTCTGCCGCCGCCTCTTCTAGCTCTGATGTCCTCGGGGACCACTCACTCTGGCACTGAGGGGCCCGTGGGATCAGTGAGCACTGCTGTGCACGCTGCCCAGATAATTTACAGTTGCGCGAACCCTGAGTGGGGTAATGCTCAGTGCGTTCTCAGCACTCGTACCCGAACTCCTCCCAGCCACCGTCTGCTCGCTCCTCGCCGCGCGCCGCCCTTTGGACGGCGGGGGGGTGGAAGGCATGGTGCGTCCTGTGAAGCATGCAACGTTGCGTGTTTTACATTGAATAAATGATGCTGTGCTGTCGGTCGCGTGTTTCCTTCATTAGTGTGTTTTAAGACCTCTCCTCACACGTGTACGGTGCAGCGCCTTGGTGCTTTCACATTGGTTAGCAAACCCTTTCCATGCTGCTATTTCCTGCTGCTTTAATTGCCGGCTGTTCCCACGTTTCCTCCCTGACATTGCATGTGTTACAAGAAGAAAGTCTTACCGTGGACCCGTCGGTTTTACTAGAACTGCTGTCCCCTCTCGGAGTCTTCTGAAGGGTCCCCTCCTGTCTGTGTGTTGTGAGCCAATTATCCCGTCACCTCTCAATTCCCTTTTAGCCTTTCTATGTTTCTAATAGAATTTTTAATGCTACAGAATTTCCCCTAAATGTACACTTGAAATGTATTCTGTAGTAATATGATATTTTTATGTATGTGTCTTTTTAAACAATTCCTGTTAAGAGGGGAATTAAGAACATTTCTGTTTGTCTTACTGCCCCAGACAAACCAGAATCATCGCTGTGGTTTTGATTGTCTCATGTAGATCTCTCTGTAATATTCCAATTACCGTTCCGTGCACTACTGGTGTTATAACACACTAGTTAAAATGAAAACAATGTTTATATCATAAAGCTTGAATGTTAAGTTGAAAGTTATTCCCTTAGAATATTCCTATGCTAATAGTATGTGCACTACCCTGAACACTAGTTTTCTTAAGCAGCACTTCGGGGTTTTTTTGTGTCTGTATTATTGAAGTATAGTCATTTTACAGTGTTGTGTCAATTTCTGGTGTACATGCTTCAGTCATATATGAACACACATACATTCGTTTTCATATTCTTTTTCACCATAAGTCACTACAAGATATTGAATATAGTCCCCTGTGCTGTACAGTATGAACTTGTTGTTTATCTATCATATATACATTAGTGTCTGCAAATCTCAAACTCCCAATTTATCCCTTCCCACCCCCTTCCCCCCAGTAACCATGTTTGTTTTCTATGTCTATGAGTCTGTTTTGTAAATAAGTTTGTTTAGCTTTTTTTGAGATTCCACATATAAGTGATATCATGTGGTATTTTTCTTTCTCTGTCTGACTCACTTCACTTACAATGACATTCTCCAGGTTCATCCATGTTGCTGCAAATGGCATTATTTTATTATTTTTTATGGCTGGGTAGTATTCCACTGTAAAGATATACCACAACTTCTTAATCCAGTCACCTGTTGATGGACATTTAGGTGGCTTCCATGTCTTAGCTGCTGTAAATAGTGCTGCTGTGAACATAGGGGTACATGTGCCTTTTTGAATTAAGTTTCCCTCTGGATATATGCCCGGGAGTGGGGCTGCTGGATCATATGGTAAATCTGTTTTCTGTCTTTTGAGGAATCTCCATACTGTTTTCCATAACAATCAGGCAGCACTTAGAACAAAACTTGAATCTCTTAAGCAGAAATATTTTCTTATACTGATTCTAAGAGAGATTGTCATTAAAAATACATTTTGAAGGGAGTAACAATAAAATTCCCATGTTTCTTGGTATAGTTTTGGAATTTAAAAAACTGATCTGTTAGAAGGTTGAGTTAATGTCGAAGCACCCACGTGCCCAGGATCTGAAGGTGATGGGGTTCAGTCCTTGACCTGGGAAGCGGTTTCTTCCTCAAGAATGGGGACCATCCCGCTGTTCCTTACAGCTCCCTCCAGACCCCGTGCCTGGATGGTGAAGATGTGTTTCTCCTTTTGCATTGACTGCAAAGTCCGGACAAATCTAAGAGACTGTTGGTGACAGATACACACATGACTGGCCCCATGGGAAGTCACGGAGGGTGGGCGTGGCCTCCAGTGGCTGGGCTGCTCAGCCATCTCCTCCCACAGTGTCCCAAGGACAGCCCAGGCCAGGCTGGAGAGCCCCACCATGTCGCCAGTTTCCACCCAGGTGCAACGATGCACAGAGAACCACAAACTCCTCTGCCAGCCAGGGCAGGGCCCCCAACAGACAGAACCGCCCCCACCCCACCCCCGCCCTGTGCCGAGCTCCTGCTCCTGCTCCCTGGGTTTCTGAGTTGGAAGAATTTCTGTGGTGAGGAGAGAAGGGAAGGATGGACCCCCGACTCCCTCCATCTAGATAATTGTTCCCATTTTGTGAGTTTTGTTTCATCTTTCTCTAGTCACACAAATATACTTACAAATGGTGCAACCTGTACCTGTTAACCCCCCCGCCTGTCTGTCTCTCACCTCCCGATCAACCTGTTAAACCACTTCAAAGTAAATTACAGGTGCCCGGATGCTTCCTGGTGTGTCTCTACAAAATCAGGGCATTCCCCCCTGTTACCCCGTCCTTCCTACCTGACAAACCGCCGTCCCCTGCATCAGGCGTTCAGAACACACGCAGGCATTCCCAGTTGCCCCAACAGCGTATTTCATGCCTGGGGGCTTTTTGGTGGTGGGGGGACTAGGATTAGACCGCATGGTCATTTCCATCCTGCTGGGGAGGTGACTGGTCCCAGCTCAGCCCCACTTTTTCCCTTAGACTGGGGCTGTGTTGTTTATAAAAGCGTGTGTGTGTCTGTGTATAAAAAGGTCGTTCCGTATTCTACAGAAAAGTCTTTTGTCAGGTGCAAGTATTGATTATGTCTCTGTGGCTTTTAAATAGTATCTGTGGATGAACAGAAGTTCTTAACTTTATGGAAGTCTGATTGGTCAGTACTTTCTTTTTTGATTAGTGCTCTGGAAATCTGCTTAATAATTCTTTGTCAGAGTCATGAACATAGTCTCCTATTTTTTTCTTGGAGCTTTGTTGTGTTGCTTTTCATATTTCCATCTCAAATGAATTTTTGAAACACGTCGACTCTTGGATTTTGGTACAGCATATGGTGTATTTTAGTAAATGATTTTGCGTATGTAAAAAAATTCTTCGGCTGCTTGGTATAGCACGCTATATATCATTACAAATTTACCATTGCTCCATTTTCTGGACTAGTTTCCTGTTTATTCTTATGAAGTGTCACACTTGACTTTGTTCACTGCTGCTTGCACTGAAGTCTGTTTTGTATGACGGGAACTTCTGTTCTTTAGCTAGTGTTTGCTTCACTTTCAGTCAGTTTCCGTCCTTATACTCAAACGTGTTTCTTGTAAACCTCAGATAGAAAGTTTTAAAAAACCCAATCTGACAATCTCTGTCCTTTAATTGGATTATTTACTCCGCTTATATTTAACAGGATGTCTGACAAGGCTGCCCTTGTCTATCATCTATCTGTGTTCTTTTGTTCCTAATTCCTCCTTTCCTGCGCCTTTTGTAATAACTGTTATTTTAAAATTTCTCCATGGCATCTCCTTCGTTTTTAGTTACAGGTCAGTGTGTCATCCTTTGGCAGTTACTCTGGAGGTTAAAACGCACAGCCCCCTCAGCTGATTACAGTCTACTGGACATGTTTGTATCAGGTTCCAAACCACGCAGTTTGACCCTCGCCCCCTTCCACCTTACGAGCTGCTGTTGTACTGCAGTCTGCGTCCATTTACGCTATAAACTTCGTCAGACACTGTCAGTGTTCAGCCTTAGCGTTACTCCCACAGCTATCCGTCCGTCTCCCTTTCCAGCACCCTTCCCTTCCTGAACCTCCGAGCCTCCCGCTGGAACCACTTTCTCTTGTTTCTGTGCTTCTTTTGCTTCAGGCTGTCTTGTGAGTTACTCTCTCTGCTTATGTTTGCCTGAAAAAAGTCTTTTTTTGGTCCTTCATTTATAAGGCGTATTTCGCTAACTCTTTCTTCTAGGTTGACAGTTTTTTTTTTCTTTTAGAAAGTAAAGCACCACTCCGTTTTGGTTTTTAGTGGGAGTCTAAGTCAAAAGGAAGACTTACACACACTGGACAACTTTGAAAGCTGGAGAGGATGTTCAAAGGATTGTGGGCACCCACACCGACATGTTCACTGCAGGCAGTTTTTATTACTGATTGTAACCCGATTCCACTGCTTGAGAATGTGCCCTGTGCAAAACCAATTCTTCAAAATTTACTGATGTTGTGAACCCAGATTCACTCTCGCACACAGTGGTGATTACAGAGTTCCACGTGTGTCCATCAGATCACACTAGCTGGTTGTGTGGTTCAACTCTTTTACATCCTTGGCTAATTTTTAGTTTGCCTGATTTCCCGTTTTCTTAGGGAGGTGTGCGTTAGGTATACGGGCTTTATCAGGTTCAGCCTTATTCCTGCAGTCCTATTTCTCTGAGAGTTAAAACTCCTGAATGTGTTGAAACCCTTTTCTGTATCTACTATGCATCGTTTTGTGTTAAAGTCATTGCTTTTATCTTCTGTAGCCTGACACTGGTGAGTTATTTCATGTCGAACCATCCTTGCACTGCCGGGGTAAACCGCGTCTGACGGCAGTGTTCTCCCTGTGAGGCATTTGGTGTTTGGCTTGGCCATGCGGTGCTATTTGACATGAGGGGGGAAAGAACCTAGATGTGTTTTCTGGTGTTGGCTTCACCAGTTTTGAATTCAAGGTAATAATAGCTTCAAAAAATAAATCTCACAATTTCCCCCTTTAAATAAATTTTTCTGGAGTGTACTTATGAGAAAAGTTAGAAAATTCATCTGTAAAGCTTTTTATGCCTGGGGCTGTTAGTAGCGAGGGCGCCATCGTTCTGCTCAGCACATTTGCTTGTGTACCTGCAGCTCACAAACTTCTTCTGTGGTTCTGTGTTTTCTTATACAGATCTCTCATCTTTCTTACTCAGTCTTCCCAATGTTTTGTCTATTTTTTAGGTAGTGCCTTTTTTTTTTTTTACATTTTGATGATTTTGTTATTCTACACACATGGATTTCTGTCTTTGCATTGTTTTGCTTTCATTTTGTTTCCATGGATTTCTTCTGTTGCTGTTTTTCTATCTCCTGTTGAATCTCTCTCTCTCCTTTACAATAACCCTAAAGCAACACATTTTCCTCCGACTACTTCTTGAGGTGTCTCACTAACTTGGCAGGCGTTCTGTCTGTTATCACCTGTTCTGCAGGGTTGAGGTGCTCCGAGTG